ACGCCCCTTGGTGCCTGCCCGCACCCAGCCCTGCAGCCCCCAGCGCCCACCCGCCCCCATCACCCCTCGCCCCCAGGGCTGGGCCCTTCGCACCTCGGCGGGACCGGCAGATAAGGGCTATCGTGTCCCCCCATTGTGTGGAGCCTGAGCTCTGCTCCCGGCCCTTTGATCACGCCAGCCCCCCCATCAGGCTGATACAATCTCGTCTCCTCCTGGTTTCGGCAGCCTGGAGGTTGGGTGCTGACTCACCACCAAAGCGCCCGGGCACCATCAGGGATGCTTCGCTCAGCCCCACTCATGGGTGGCCCTGGGGTCTCCAGCTGCAGCCCCAGGCAGGCAGCATCGCACCCCAAATCACCCGGGACCGCCCCAAGGCTTGCCCCTGGGGAATCCCAGCCTTGCACCTGCCTCTCCGAGGTCCCCAAATTCTTCCTTTGCTCTCAGAGCCCAGCAGCCTCTCAGAGCACTCCCAGGCTTTTTGGGAAGCTCTAACTTTGAGTAAAACCCGGCTGCTCCTCCTGGGAAGACCCCCTTGCTCAGGGCCCCCCTGGGAAGCTGTGTCCCCACCACATGTCCGGGCACAGAAGAGTGATTTGTCCTGGGACACCTTGTCTGTGCCGCAGACACCCCAGGACAGCCCAGGGCTGGGTGCACGGTCTGTGCTCAGCCCCAGCCTGTCCATGCCTCAGTTTCCCCAGTTGTAAAACAGCAGGGAGGACCGGCCGGAGTGTTCAGGCACTGCGGTCATGTGGGCCGTACCCAAATTACACCCTGGGCTCTGTAATGCAGAGGCCTTTTTAACGAGGGGACAAATCTGGACCAAACCATCCTCAAGGACTTTCATCTCAGCCGGGTTTGGAAGCACCAACCCTCCATCCCGTCCACCCAGGCCAACAGCCAAGCAAACTGCGGTGCCATGGAGGAGCTCTGGCGGTCCTCCCAGGGACGGGGCTTCTGAAGCTGAACCCGCTGCCCAGCCCTCCTCAGACAGACCTGGGGTGAAGACTGTGGCTGGCTCCTGACCATGGGGCCCCGACCCACTGCCTGCAGGGCTGCAGCCCACCAAGGTGTAATTGCCTTAGGCATGAAACTCGAGGGGATCCAGCACAGCCCTGATGGCTTCTCCATCACGTGCCCCAGGAGAGAGGGTGGGCTGACAGTGAATAAAACATCAGCTGTGGTCATACACTCTCTTAAAATCTTGTCTCCAAGCCAAACCAACGCCAAACCAGCGCACTCAGCAAAGGGAGGACAAGCAGATGTGCATCTCTGTCCCTCCCAGCCTGCTGTCATCTCAGTGAGCCGGGGAGGACAGATGCATTTCTTTCCGCTCCCCTCTTCCTAGCAGGATCCCATCCATCCCTGGCTGGGTTACAGACCGCAGAGCTGGGCCCGAGCCTGGAGCATGAGCAGGCTCCAGCCACGGGGGTGATGGAGGGACGCATCCTTCCTCCTCCCGGAGAAGGCAGGAGGCTCTGCCCCAAAGGAGATGGATGGCCAAGCCCCAGCCATTGGTGCACAATGACCCCGCACAATAACCGGGCACCTCACACAGCCCCCCCAAAATCGCCCCATTGAAATGTATGGGGGGGGGCACACACCGAGAAACCCCACTGACTCCCTCCACATCCCCCAGCTAAAACCATCACAGCCACAATGGGCCCCGCTCCTACAAAGGGGCCGGTTCAAAGTCAACGTCTCCCTTCCCCTCCGCCTGTATATGAAAGAGAACAGGAATGCGTTTGAGGCCTTGGCGGGCTGGGGGGGCTGGGGGTCTTCCTGGGGGGATGGAGAGAAACAGCAGGTTGGCAGGAGGAAGGGGTCCGGCCCGGGAACAATAAATCAAAGGGAAGGGGAGTTACTGCCCGGCCAAGGATCTTCTGAAACCCTGGGCCACAGCGGGAGCCCGGGAGG